TCTCTCTCTCTCTCTCTCTCTATATATATATATATATATATATATATATATATATATATATATAGTGTGTGACAGAAAAGGAAGACATATTCAATGAAACACACACATATATATATAATGTGGTCGTCTGTCTTTTCAACCCCGGTATGGAATGAAATGAACTTCATGTCTGTGAGGTTAGGAGTTGTGAAGAATTGAGACTGGAAGCTAAAGAATCAACTTAAACCTTAAATTACCGAAAACCTTACAGGCAGGAACTTTATTTAATTCTACACTGCTGTTGAAAAAACAGACGACTACTTTCGTCGTCTACCGAAATAGCCTATTTTCCATATTAACTAAAAGGATTTGTTTGATAATTAATTATATTGCTCTGTATAAATTAAATAAAATAAATCGTGAATCAATTGTAATATTTTCATATTACTATGATCCACTTGGATCATATATCAATGGATATTTTACCTTATATATATATATATATATATATATATATATATATATATAAAATTTGGCTAATTTACTTACTAAGACGAGTCTAGCTCTATCTTCAAAAGGCGCATAGGTAACAATTGGTAGAGTTGCGAAAAAGAAGATCTTCGAAGCAGAAGAGATGTGTGGTTAACAATAATAGGGATTTACCCCAGTCTCTACACTGAAACGGGATGTGACAAAAGATCGGGTTTAATGTGGGGAACCCGAGCGCGTACACCCGGGCTAAGGACAGCCCCCACCGTCAGTAACGCTGGCATTTTGGTGTGTCTACCAATCCCGCCTCTTTAGTGCAATGGTGGTGCTGCCTCTGGCAGCTGTTCCCAGGGACCGAGCACCTTACTTATTTTCCTTAGTTGAGTCTCTATCCGCAGACAGACCCACAATTAAGTTACATTCTGTCCTAAGACAGTGACGCAACTGAGAGATGATAAACTCTACCCGGCATATACCAAGTAAGTCTCCCCAATAACACATGATGTGTCACAAGGTCGGGCTTATTGTGGGGAATCCGAGTCCATACACCCAGGCCAAGAACAAAAATTACCCGAGCCACGGCAACTGGCGGTTGCGCCGGTCTTGGTAGAGAGCACGAATCCCTCTCTCTCCAGTGCAAAGAGAGGATGCAACCTCTGGCAGCTGTTACCCAGGGCTGGGCACCTCAAAGTATGATTTTCCTCAGTTGCGCCGTTCTCCCCCGACGGAGCCGCAAGTGAATCGTACTCTGCCCGAAGACAGAGACGCAACTGAGCGATGATAAATCCTACCCAGAATGTGCCAGGCAAGTATTAACAATAGTAGCCGCTTAGTCTAATAACAGGGCTCTTTTTAAGAGCGAGGCCCATTCACATTTTAACCAGGTGGAAGAAAACAAGAAGGTTCAGTCAAATCTCTCTAGCAGTGTTTCCACCCCTATAGGGAGAGTTTATTGCCGGTAACTTTTATTTTCCACATCCTAGTCTTGCTGCTGAATAACTCTAGTCGGCTATTTAACCCATAGCTAGGATGAGAAGCGATTAATTCCTTTCCTAATGCAGCAATTTGAACTCGACTCGCCGATTCCCTTTTCCGCCCTGATTACCGTTACGCTACTCTTAATAAGAGTATACTACTATACTTTTTCATCAAAACGCCTTTTCTCTTCAGGCTGTTGTCGATCATCGCTCTCCACAACTTCCTGTCTTTTGTAGCTCTTAGTAATTTGTGTCTTTTTGTTATCTGTCCGCCATCCATTTACTCAAGCTCATGAGGTAGTTTATGCGTTTTTCCCTCTGTCTCTCTTGCCTTCAGTCTGTCTTGTGGGTATCAAAATTTCCAAGCCATCTTTCCTCATTATATGCCCTACAAATTTGTGTCTTCCTAATGTTAAATATAAGTATGCTTTTTTTGTTTCCATTTTCTTTGAAACTTCGTGTTCGGTCCAAGTAATTCTCAGCATCCTTCTGTATAACCGCATTTCTGTTGCTTCAAGTCTCTCCCTCAATTGTGAGAAGATTGTACTAAGCCATGTTTTAGCTCAGCAAACGTGTACCCTTCGTTACACCAGCGCATTTACAATTCAAATCCTTTGACGTGGTACAGTTAACATATTAACCGTGAGAGAGTGAGTTCGATCCTCACAGTTTGTTCTGCTTCTGGGCCAAGCTAAGTCAAAGTTTCCCTAAAGTTGTTAAAATTATGTCATTGGAGACTTCCTTCTGCATCAGTCTAATAAAAGGCAGTTTTTAAAATTTGCTTGAACTGAAGATATACTTGCTGCTTTAAGGTAGAATTCAGCGGTTCCGGGTCATCTCTATATAAGTAGCACGACCGTAGAGGAACACCATACAAATTTTCACTTTGTCTAATACAAAAACAAAAGTGGGGCAGGGAGATTCTCTTTCCTGTATTTGTTTTTAGCTGCCTCAAGTTTGGCCACTCGCACAGTCACGCGCGGGCACTGTTTAGTATTAAGTCAGTCCGATATTCCTTTTGCATTCCATTTTCTCATCGACCCCTTGACGCCCAACCAACCAACCAACCACCTATTACTAATTTTCTCTTTTCTTTTCGACTTTCCTGCTCCACAACCAAAGACCGACCCAAACATTAGGTCCAAAACGCCTTTGCCGAGGGTCCCAGTGCAAAGAAGGAACAACCATTACGGATGACTCCACGCCAGCCCTTGAAGAGGAAACAATGGATCGCCCAATTCAATTCAATCAGATTCTTTAAACATTGACAATTCTTAGCCCCCCTCATACACGGATTAAATCCGGGCGTTTCTCTTCTTGCAGACAGGAGCCTTCTTTCCACCTTCAACGGGTGTGCTATCTTCGGTCACCGATCCTGACTTCTTTAATCTTTTTGCCTTTAAAGGCCTCCATGCTATCCTCATTGCTACTGCTTTAAGATTCTTTCTTTCTTTCAGTCTGTCTGTCTTTCCTATGACACTCTTTCTTTCTTTACACCTTCTATAATTCCATTGCGTTCTTTCTTTCTTTCTTTCTTTCTTTCTTTCTTTCTTTCTTTCTTTCTTTCTTATACTCTTTCTATAATTTTCTTTGTTTCTTTGTTTATTTTTTCTTTAAGCCTTCTATAATTCCGTTTCTTTCTTTCTTTCTTTCTTTCTTTCTTTCTTTCTTTAAGCCTTGTATAATTCCGTTGTTTTCTTTCTTTTTTCTTTCTTTCTTTTTTTCTTTCTTTCTAAACGCTTTCTATACTTCCTTTGCGTACATCTTTCTTTCTTTAAACCTTCTATAATTCCATTCCTTTCTTTCTTTCTTTCTTTCTTTCTTTCTTTCTTTCTTTCTTTCTTTCTTTAAGCCTTCTATAATTCCGTTTCTTTCTTTCTTTCTATAATTCCGCTTCTTTCTTTCCTTCTTTCTTTCTTTCTTTACTTCCTTTGCGAATTTCTTTCTTTCTTTCTTTAAGCCTACTATAATTCCGTTCGTTTCTTTCTTTCTTTCTTTCTTTCTTTCTTTCTTTCTTTCTTTCTTTCTTTCTTTCTGTTTTCTACCGTCTCCATATTCATTTCTTCTTTCAGTTCCTTCTCTCCTCATTTCATTTTTACTCTTTCATTCTCCAAGTTTAAATTCAAGTTTTCATTTTTTTGTTCTCAATTTTCCTTCATGCTTTAATATGAGCAGAGATTTTTTCTTCTGTACTCTCCTTTTTTTTCATTTGTCCCTTTCGCGTATTTCTATCATTTCTTCCTCTGTCAACTCCAGATATGCCCTTCTCCATCGTCCGACACCTTTTACCGTCCCGACACGCCGCTGTTTCTGTGGAGACGCCAAATCAAACATGGCGCTAATCCTGGATAAAGCTCTTCTGTATCTGTCGACAACAAAGAGAGTCTCCTTCCACTTATTGCAACTTCAAGAGTCAAGAATGAACCGCTAGTGCGCTCCGAGGAAGGAAGAGCATGTCGACGGGGGTCACAAGATGTTAGAAATAAGGACATAATAAAAAGAAGGATCACACACACACACACACACACACCCACACACACACACACACACACACACACACACAGGTACGCATATATGCGTGGGTGTCTCTTGATGAATTACATAGCTTGATAAAACGTTACATACAAACCAGTGCGTTTGGCGTTCGTATTTTCCTTACATTAAATGAATATTTTAAAAGGTGTCACACATGCGCACACACATACACTCACGCACATGCACATGCACACACATAAAAGAGACTCCTATTTTCCCCATGAAAGCTAAAACAGACACAGAGGTAAGAAATGACACCTTTGGATGGAACACATTTTCGGCTGCGAATCTATTTTTTCTCTATAGTCATTACGATTGGATATGCATTTCACGCAAGTCATGAACATGAACCGGTAAACCTGCTTAGTCAAACATATCGTTTCTGGTGACACCCACTGATTAACTGTGCTCAAATTGGTCTCTGTAAATGATTATCAAGCCTTGATGTATGTCAATAGGAGAAGTTTCTTTCATATGGAGGAATTTAATGACACACATGTGTTTCGTATGCAGTATCATGTCAGACAACATTTTGTCATATTACCTTTTCGCCGCTATCTTCCGATTTTCATTTGTTCTCTTCTCTGCAGAACAATTTAAATAACAAAATAGCTGTTACTGTGCAGTCAGTCGAAGACTACCTCACAATCTTCTTCCGGCAAAAACAAGAAATTCTATGAAAATGGCATCAAGAAGCTTGTAGAACAATTGTAGAAATGTCGGTTTTGTGTGTATGTAATTTTTTTTAATTTTCTAATCGGGTACAAACGTTTGCAATAAGAGAATATATAGCTTGTAAACAATCCCTTGGGGTCGCTGGTTTAGTAACCCTCATTTCAATTTCAAACATTTTCTTGAATTTCATTGGTTGTTAAATAAAAAATAAGCTTCGAGAAATTTCCATAAAAAAACAGTCAAAAAATAGGCTCAACCGACGTAAAAATAAATCTTTCTCAAATTCATCCCTAATTTAAATGTTTCAAGAAATCCTATTGGCTAAAAAATAAAAAAATACAATTCTCAGAAAAATTTGCAACAGCTACCAAGCCTCGTTGAGCCAATTTCGTTGTTAAGAAAACTATAAATAGAAATAGTAAACGAATTTTCGTCGCATTTGAGACTCCCACACGCGAAAGATACACATGCGAATTATGTGCCGCCAAAGAAACAAACTTCTTTTATGAGAGATTAGAAAAATTTACACAACAAAATTTTCACTCAATATCTTTCATAGGAAAATCTTTTGTCTAAGTTAAATTCAACCATTTTAATCAAAGGCAGACAACTTTTAGACATTGAACATTTCCAAAACAGTAAAGAACTTTTTCTCTAAAATATACCTTTGCATACATCATTACAAACAAATTTAATCTGTTGTTTCAAACATGTATTTTTTGTCGTGATTGAATATCGTTACCATTTGGCTATTTCTTATAATTTATGTTTGTGGATATTGCATATTTGCAGCACAATCTTAAATATTCACGCATCCTTCCCAGATCAACTACACTGGTGCCTACATTCTGCAGTTATGCATCTAGAACGGAGTCATTTAGTGTTAGAAGTTGCGGTATAAACCAACCCCTTTCAAGTAGTCTAGGGTAGTCTGTTCTTATATGTTCTTGAAAGGTACCAGAATAGTCATATTTAGAGCAGGAATTTTTGATAATGAATTTATTGGTCACTGGAGAGGTTACAGATGGCATCAAAATGATTGACTTTTTTTTGTTATATCTTAATATCATACCAACTCTGTTGGTTATTTAATATCGAAAATATTTTCCTCATTAACTATATGGGTTATAAACATTCTTTGAGTCGTTGGTCCCATCACTGTCCAGTTATGCATTTAGAATGGAGTTATATAGTGTAATAATTTATAGTATAAAGCAACCTTCTTCAAATAGGCTAAGATAGTATTTACTCTTATCATCTTAAAGAGGTCTTCTATATTAGTCCTGCCATAAAATCGTTGACGTATAGGGGCAAGGTAACTACACTCGGTTAGAATATGTTTTACGGTATACGCTTCCTGGCATGCCGTTCATTCAGGAGGATGTTCCTTTTTTATGAGAAATGAATGAGTGATGTAGATGTGTCATATTCTGATTCATGATTGGATGAATTCTTCTTTGCGAAAGTCTGAGATCATGATGCCATTCTCTTAGAATAGATTCAATTTTGTAAAGTTTATTGTTTGGGTGCTAGTTCCTTAACTCTTGCTACTTGTTTAGAATGGATGAGTTTATAGTCGCTTTGAAGTCCTTATAGGGAATTTTCAAATTTGAAAGATTATTTTTTAGGAATCCCATGTCACCTTTTCGATTTCCGCGGATGCTGATAGGGCTAGTAACTCAAAAGAAGAGAAGTTTTTGTTTTCTTCCAGATGAGATTAATCCGGTTTAGCAATGTTATAACCAAGTATATGGTTAAGAAATAATATAACAAGAGGTTGCGGATAAGGCGTGTATTGAACAGAAGAGTATTACACGACCTGGGAGTGTGTGTCGGTTGACTAGCGTTCAATCTATACTATTTGTTCCCCTCCCCCGAGGCTTACTTTCCTACTAATTTTATAGTAAGTGGAAGAGTCCACAACAGACACATTAAAGAGAGGACACAACAGCAATTTAACTATTAAGGGATTGTTAATGCTTTTGTTTCTCAGCGATACAATAATAGAAAGTGAATATGAGAAACCTATGAAATCTGGCTCATTGTTTATTATGATGTCTAAAGCTATGTTTAGTCTTTTAGTTTCAGCACTAAAAGTAGAGGATTTGTAAGATAGGCTTTTTTTTATAGACATATCATAAAGAACGGCTGAACATCAGACTTTATAAATATTTTTAAGACCTCTGTAAGTATACGATTATAGTTTGGGTGCAACTGAAAAAGATTATTAATTTCTTATAAACAGGTAGATGGACATATATTAGTTTTAGGGTGTGTGGCAAGGCGCATAGGGAACGAGTTCAGCGAATATACAAAAATATAAAGGGTCGTAAGGCAAGGATGCGTCTTCTCACCCGACCTGTTCAACCTATACAGCGAGGCAATTTAGAGAGAATTGGAAACCCTACCGGGATTTAGAATTAGCGGCCACAATCTTAACAACGTAAGATACACAGATGACACAGTACTGATAGAAGACACAGAAATGAAAATACAAAATCTCCTACAGAAGGTAGCGACGGAGAGCGAGAAGAAGGGACTAAGCATAAACTACAAAAAAATCAGTAAAAGGATGAGCCCGAAATACGATTTACAGGTCAGGAATATTATAATCAATAAGACACGGAAGTTTATATATCTTGGAGGCGTTCTGACAGAGGACGGTAAACGCAACACTGAGATCCGTAGACGTATTGGGATGGCCAAGGACGCATTCCAAAAGTTGGGCAGAGTATTGCAAGACAGGAAGTTTTCTTTGGTAACGAAGAAAAAAATACTAAGCTGTTATGTGATGTCTGTCCTTCTTTAAGGCAGCGAATGTTGGACGATTTCTTTAAAGATGAAGAAAAGACTCGAGGCGACGGATATGTGGTTCTACAGAAGGATGCTAAGGATATCATGGACCAAGCGTGTGATCAACGTTGAGGTCTTAGAGGGGATGCAAACAAGGATGTGGCTTATACTTAACACCAGGAAGAGGAAGCTGAAGTTTCTGGGACACATAATGAAGAAGGAGGGTCTGGAGAACCTGATACTCACGGGTCGAATGGAAGGAAAGAGAGACAAGGGAAAAAAACGCATGATATACCTAGCGGCCTTAATTAAGTGAATGACAGAACGTGGTCTGGGGGAAGTCGCAGAGAGATGGAACTTGTTGAGAGCTGTAAGGGATAGCGGGAGGTGGAGAGCCATGATCGCCTACGTCCTGAAAGGACACGGCACATAGAAAGAAAGGCAAGGTTTAGTAAAACTATTGGTTGTTTTGTTAGACAAGGTCGGATTTCCGGAATAGTAGATTCAAGGATCTATACGTGATTCATTAATAATGTTCTTTATGCAAAGGCCCAAAAGGTTTGACGGATGCTTTTTTTTTTGTTTTCGTTTTGTTTTTTTTTAATACATCTTTATAATGTGGCATAATGCCGGGTTATTCGGTCAGGAATATAGACTGAGATAGTATGGATCAGGGAACAGGCCATAATGAAAAGATATCATAGAAATGGAGGAGAGAGACACACATAAAAAGAAAATAATAACAGATGAAATAAGAGGTTGGTACCTAATAGGTAGAAAATACGGTAAAATGGAGCGATAAATTTGAGGGATTCATTAGTAACATGCTATAGAAAGCAGGAGAGTCGTTCTGAAAGCATTTAGATAAGTAGAAGAGTGATAACTAAGGATAGGAAATATAACACTTTAGAAAAGTTCTTGGATTGACCCATGGTATATATATATATATATATATATATATATATATGGAAAATTATAAACAGGGATCGAACATGTAAAACTTGGGATGACCCATGCCCTTTGTGCCTCCATGAGAAATTGCACATTATTAAGCTTCTAAATAATAATAATCTATTAAACAATAGACATGAGTTAACGGTTTTTTGTCGACATCATCAGATTCATGGTTTGAATAATTAGCTAAAAACAAGCATACAATATAATAACTTTCATAATCCATAGCCCAAATAAATAGCTTAAATACCCTACAAAAAAGATAACCCTTTATGAAGTCGTCAAAAAACAGACGTTACGGCAGTTTTTTTTTATATGCACAAATCCCTTTCATAAAAAATAAAATAAAAAAATAAATAAATCTCCATAGACACGCAAATCAGACTAGGGTTAATACATCCTCCGTTTCAAATTTAGGCACCCCCACCTTTCCCTGACTTGACATCTATGAAAGTAACTCTATACTGATACTTATTATCAACACCCAACACACGCCTACCCAATTTAAACAATTCGCCCTAGCTGTTACCATGGAAATTTTGATTTCAATTATTAAAACACGTAAATTTCAGAAATACGTTATTCCAAAAAAAAAAAATTTCGCTTGAAGATGAAACAGAGCTTACTTTAACTCAATTTAATTCAAATAATTATATTGAAGTTTTCATCTTTGTTTTTGAAACATGGGACCTCTTATGTCGCGAGTTGGAATCATATTTTTAAATAAATAATCATATATATATATATATATATATATATATATATATATATATATATATATATATATAGGTATAGGTAAGCTATAATTATAGGTAAAAGTGCTCAATAATCAGGCTATGTAAAATATAAAAAATTCCCACATTTGGATTCACAATTATTTCTACTCAATAATATCTAGAATTTCAAAATACATAACCGTCATGGTCTGCTCAATAAATGTTAGGATAATACAGTAGACTTCGCTACCCATAATATACAATTGATCAGCATATATAAATAGATGAGACAATATACAACACACGTTACATGAAGATTGCGTTCAAGCATCAAACAAACTGTCTTCTCTCGGTGTTGACCTCAATGACCTCAATATATATATATATATATATATATATATATATATATATATAAATAATTCATCGAGCCTGAAACCTCAACAGAATGCAGAAAGCACTGGACGGCCGTTTCGTCCTATATTTGGGACTCATCAGCAGTGCACATCCACTACCGAGAATTGAAACCCTCTCAGGTTGTCAAGCTAAAATCATACCAACTGTATCCCTTCGTCACCAAGGCCCGTTGGAACAGTTGGTATGATGTTTGCTTGACAACCTAACTGTCAGGGTTTCAATTCTCCGTAGTGGTTGCGCACTGCTGATGAGACCCAAATATAGGACGAAACGGCCATCTAGTGCTTTTTGCATTCTGTAGAGGTTTCAGGCTCGATGAATTGCTTAAATATAATTATCAAATCCTCCTAATAATTTCTATCATATATATGTCATAATTTTTTTTACACACGGACAAAGACAACATACTCACTTCAAAGATGCATTCTTGTTTCGATCTGGGTCCATCTCGACTGGTGAGGACTATATATATATATATATATATATATATATATATATATATATATATAGGGATGATGAGACAAAATGGAAAAAAACATATAAACGCCGCATTTCACCGACCTGACGTGTTGGGTTTGCCTTCTTTTTGCGGATAAAGGAACAATAAATTACACTTATCAGGTCCTAGAGAGCAAAAAGCACTTTTTTTTTTTGGTGTATATATATACATACATACATACATATATATATATATATATATATATATATATATATATATATATATATATATATATATATATATATCTACCAAACAAAAAAATCGCTTTATATATATATATATATATATATGTATCGCAGAAAGCGAGTGTTTGTTTTATATATATATATATATATATATATATATACTTATCACTTATACTTATATACTTATTACTTATATATATCGCAGAAAGCGAGTGTTTGTTATATATATATATATATATATATATATACTTTTACACTTTATCTCATCATCTTCATATTTTTCGGATACTTTTATACATCATTATATATATATATATATATATATATATATATATATATATATATATATAATACATTATATATATATATATATATATATATATATATATATATATATATATGTGTGTGTGTGTGTATATATGTTTTAAAGAGAAGAGAAAAGCTGCAAACGTTTTTGGTTATAATGTGGATTTTTTAAATATATATTATTCTGTATTTTCCATATTTTTGCTACACGCGTTTCCGGTCTCGCGACCTTCATTAGGCAAAGAATGGTTATTTTCACTTATTATTAAAAGGAATCAATTTTCCTTATGTTTTCCGATGTTTAGCCATTGTCTTTTGTGTGTAGTAGTAAACCAAATTTTTCTTGGACTTGCGGAAATAATATTCTGCTTAACGGGTAATAAAACAATCCGGATTGGTCAGAAAAAGGGCGAAAGAAAGGAGGTCTTTGTTCTTATCTTTTTATGACAACTGAATCTTTTTAAACCTATCTCCATTTTTATGTATTGTGTGTGCGTGTGTTTTTGCGAGTATGTGTATACATATTCCTTCTCCATACATATATATTTTGTTTTATTATAAGGAATTAGTATATATATATATATATATATATATATATATATATGTCACTAAAGATGATTCCGAACAATGTAAATAGTGTAAATAGTTAAAATACTTCATTTCAGAAATATAGACAGAGAGTGCTCATTCTTATTCAGACAGAGCCACATGCATCGTAAATATTACGTTTTTGGGATCATATTAAAAACTTTCTAACTTATGTGTAATTAAACGTTTTAAGGAAATAAACTAATCGTCAGGCGTTTATATCACTGTATAATATATTATATATATATATATATATATATATATATATATATACATGTGTGTGTGTGCGCGCGTGTGTGTATATTCTGAGATAGATAGATAGATAGATAGATAGATAGATAGATAGATTGAGAGGTGAGAGAGAATAGCTTCTAGTTGACTCAGGGATAGACCGCGTGATATTTCGAGATTTGAGTATGAGCAAACATACGGTGTGTGCCTTGGATAAAAAGCAATCACAAGGAGGAGAATGGCGGTGTAGAGAAGCTGATACACGGGGACAAATGAAACATGAAGGAAATTGGGAAATGATGAAATACAGAAGGGAAAGGGGACATTGTAAATAAGGAAAGCAATGGAGATCACTCAGGAAATGTTTGCCGAGGTTTAAGAGTCACGCTAGAAGGGAAATGAGAAAGTTGCGGTCCTTCGAATAATCAGAAGCGAAAAGAAAAAGGAAATGCAAAAATACATAGAGAAGAAGAGAAACATACATGAAGAAGTTAACTGGAGAAGTTAGAAAGGTAAGCAATAAATATATTGAAAGAATTGGCAGGGGAGAAAACAAGTGAGGGTTAATGATATTAATGGAGATATATAATATTGAAGTAGATATAGAGAAGGAAGTCGAGAGGAGAGAGAGAGAGAGAGAGAGAGAGAGAGACAGACAGACAGACAGACAAGCAGACAGAGATAACGAGAAAGGAAATGGTCTGATGGATATGAATACTGATATAAGATACTGAGGCACATATATATATATATATATGAAGAAATTTTGAAAAAACAAACAAAAATCCTTAAATGTAGTTAAATGAAAGAAATGTCGACGTCTGACGTTTCGGTTTATTAAACCTTTTTCAAGACAATATTCATCAAAATACAATTCAGTTCAATATGACAAATACGATGGACATAAAAACACAAGTGTATTCAGAACAGATAACTGAAAATTTTTAAAATGATCAGCCTTCCGTCTAACATGGTCACGCTGTCGTCACATGGGCGACGCTTTCATAACGTATTCCTAAAAGTTTGTGATTATTTTGAAATGAAAAAGAAAAAGAAAATGAAAAGAATTCTATTAGGTTCCAAAATTCTTATGTGTATGCTTGTCGAGCATCAATCTCGCTAAAAAAGGGGAAATATTAAAGAAACCAGGTCTAGTATATATATATATGTGTGTGTGTGTTTTTTTTTTGAATTTGTAGGTCTGATGAATTGGATCGTATTTACGATTCCAATAGAATAAATTATGACCATGGAATATTAGTGTTTAAGCCTTTTTATTATATATATATATATATATATATATATATATATATATATATATGAAGAAATATAGTTTTAAAGTGTGCTATATTTAGGGATAAAGTGCTCAATATCAGAGATAGAGCGTTTGTAAATATAAAAGTGAACATTGAAGTCAACACTCAGAGGCGACAGGCTGTTTCATGCTGGACACAATTGTCAGGCGGCCAGACGATTGCGTCCAGCATGAAATATCCTGTCGCCTCTGAGTATTGACTTCAATGTTCATATATATATATATATATATATATATATATATATATATATATATATATATGAGAGAAAGATAAAGCGAAGAATAGTGATATAAGATACTGAGGTAGATATATAGAAAAGAAAGTTAAAGAAAATAGACCAATAAGCAGTTATATTAGATACTGAGGTAGATATAGAGCCAAGAGAGATAAAAGAAGTAGACTGATAAAAAAGAATAATGATATAACATACTGAGGTAAGTATAGAGGAGGGAGAGAGATAGAGGGAATAGATTAATAATAATAGTGATATAACATACTGAGGTATATATTTATAAGAAAGATAATGAGTATAGTCAGACCAATAATAGTGATATAAGATACTGAGGTAGATGTATAGGAAATAAACTTAAGGAAATAGATCAATAAGAATAGTGATATAAGTTACTGAGGTAGATATGGAGGTGAAAGAGGTAAAAGTAATAGTCTGATGAAAAAGAATAATGATTTAGCATACTGAGATAATTATAGAGGAGATAGAGATAAACGGAATAGTCAGATCAATAATAATAGGGATATAAGATACTGAGGTAGATAAAGAAGCGAGAGAGATAAAAGAAAGAGTCTGATAAAAAGAATAATGATATAACATACTGAGGTAAATATAAAAGAGGGAGAGATAAAGGTAATGGATCAATAATAATAGGGATATAAGATACTGAGGTAGATAAAGAAGTGAGAGAGATCAAAGAAATAGTCTGATAAAAAGAATAATGATATAACATACTGAGGTAAATATAAAAGAGGGAGAGATAAAGGTAATGGATCAATAATAATAGGGATATAAGATACTGAGGTAGATAAAGAAGTGAGAGAGATCAAAGAAATAGTCTGATAAAAAGAATAATGATATAACATACTGAGGTAATTATAAAGGAGGGATAGATAAAGGTAATGGATCAATAATAATAGGGATATAAGATACTGGAGTAGATATATAGAAAAGGGAGATTAAGATAATAGCCAGATCGATTAGAATTATAGGTTAATTGAGGAGAGGGATAAAGTTAATTTCTCAATAAGAATAGTGATATAAGATACTGAGGTAGATATATAATATAAAGAGATAAATAAATATATTGTAATTATTCAACGTCTGCTTATGACCAGTCGTATGTTTCACTAATCAAATCGCCGTAAGTTATTATATGTCTTCCTATATAAATCTTATCTGCATATCGCAGTCATTTAAGATCTATCTATCTATCTATCTATCTATCTATCTATCTATCTATCTATCTATCTATCTATCTCAGGCTATGCGCGCGCACGTACACACACGCACACACACACACACACACACATATATATACTGTGTAGATTTTAGCAGCATGTTTTCATTAAGATGTGTTTTATTGAATAATTTAGAAAATTTTATCTACTTATTTTCAATAGGATCCTTTCATATTCACGGACAAGTCTTTTGGTGTCGTTATGAAAAGAAGAGAACAAATTACCGTGTTATTCCGAGTACTTTTGACATTAGCACAAAGTCATCGTTATAGTGTTGTTTATTAACAGAAAAAAAATGTAGTGTTCACCGTTTTCGTAGACAAAATTGTTATGTTCATCTGAAAGTTAACATTTTTAATTGGGAAGTGAGTAACGCAGAGTTTGGTACCATGCGGTTAGCATAATTACACTCCAGCGAAGGTAACTAAGTTATAAGGTTGTGAAGAGTTCTTTTAGAAGAAGAAAAAAAGAAGAAAGAAGTATGGAAACTATTAGTACGAACCTCGATATTTTACTATCTTGTGTAAACATTTTAAAATCTTTTATGCAGTTTTCATGATTAATTTTGTTAAGGTTTGGCTTCAATTTTTTTTCAAGGATTTTTACTTTATGTTTATTATTTCCATGGAGAAGTATTGATGTATTTTCGACAAGAATTTTTCTAAATTGCGAATGTGAACAGGAATGCTGCTGTAAATGTTTAGAAATGTTGGACCTGTCATTCAAATGAAAACTCAGCCGCCGAGACAGTGGTCGTATTATGGCCAACATGCACATTATTTTTTTTTCCGTTGGAGATGCAATCTCACAGAGGACATTTAAATTTATATACAATGTTGGTATTCTGCAACACATTAGTAGTTGGGGAAGAGTCGTTACGAATGATTAAATTGGATATACTGGATTTAGTATGGTATAATTAATTTAATTTTTTACTAGTATCTGTGGTAGATATGTTGGTATTTATTAATTTTTTAGGATATTTTCGTATTGTTTATAATTAAAATGCAGAAAAATAATAAAACATAAATATAAAACATGAAAAATATAAAATATGAAAAATTCTTCATAAACATTTTACCCGTCGATCGCAGAAGACCTTTTAATGGCAGCTATAAACCTGGCCAAGAATTATTGCACCATCATTGACCAAGAAATCAGCATCATTAAGCAAGCCTAGAAACCCATCCTATATGACAATGGTTCTATGTGGACCAAAAAAGACAACTCAAACTTTTCTTTGGCGATGGGAGGGTTCGATTCTGCAGAAGCTTTTGAATTGGTTGACATTTTGCTACTCTGAAGATTTAGGTAAACTTTCGATAGCATGAAAACGGATCTATACAGAGACGACGGGGTTATCTCCCTACGTTAACACAAACCCACAACAAACAGATCGACTTAGAAAATATCATGAAATTCTTCAAGGAACATGGATTAAATATCACCATTAATACTAATGCAAAGGTAATGAACTTTCTGGGCACTACTTTCGACCTCTCCAAAGGAATATACATGCCTTATACTAAAGAGCTTTATAACCATAAATACATTGGCAAAGAATCCAACCATCCACCAGAAATTTTAAACAACTTGCACAAAACGTTGTAAAGCAGACTCTCAACTAACTCTAAATTATCTTTGAAAAATATAAAACTAAATATATAAATGCACTAGAAAAAAGTAAACACAAAGTTACATTGCATAAACATTAATAAAAATGCCAACAATTAACATAAGAATAGAAAACATAATTTGGTTTAACCCACTATTTAACAAGAATGTCTATACCAATATAGGTAAAATTTTCCTTAATCTAATCCCCAAACATTTCAACCATATTCCATTGCTCAACAAAATCTTCAACAAGAACAACATTAAGATTAGCTACAGCTGCACCAAAAACCTCAAACAGTATATAGCACAACATAATAATATAACATTAAACAAATATTTGAACAGCCTCAACAGAAACATTAATACAGACAAAAATTGTAATTGTCGAAAAAACAGTACCTGTCCATTAGATCATAAATGTATGAATAAAAGCGTTATTTATAAGGCTAGCGTTAAATATAATGGTAAGACTAAGTTTTATTTTGTTTCCACTGCAGACCACTGGAAGACCTAGTATTGCCATCATAAAATGATTCTTCCCAATAAACAATATTCAAATGCCACGAAAGTCTCAAAATTCTACTGGGAAATCAAAACAAATAACTGAACACAGGTAGTAAATTAGGATTTCGTCGCCAAAACTACACACTATTACGGCCGCGGTGACCGATGTAACCAGTGTTTGTTTGGAAAAGGATTCATACTGAAAAATATTAACAACACCAAACGTCTGAACAAACGTTGTGAGCTCAAGATAGCTTGTACCCATAAAAAAGCTCTCTCCTTTTTAACCCAACTTCAACTGCCCATTAATTATCTTAGGTTAAATACTTATTAACTCCCACCTTTAACCATTTAACCATTTAAGCATTTAACCATTTAAGCGTCTATAAATTTGTAACGATTTACATAGCGTTACATGGCGTTCCTCTTTTCTTTAAATATATATTTTCCCACCTTTTACATTCTTTGTCTATCTACTCATTTTATTTTTTTAATTTTATCTCTGTCTATAAAAGGCAGGATGTGTGTGTGTGTGTGTGTAACAAATGCACGGTTACAATTTTCGACAGATTTGCACCAAAATTTACATGCACAGGCTCCAAGTTAGCGGGAAGGCCAAGACCGACTTTGCATTTCCCAACTCCCATCGATAGTGGAAGTAATCGATTTTTTTTATGCAGTTTTCATGTAGTTTGCGGCCATTTTCTACTGGCCAGAGTGAGAGCCAATAGCTGGCTGCCACGAATAGGCAGGAAGATTCTATTGGCCAGCGTGAGAGCCAACAGTTGACTGACACGAATGTTAACTAGCATGCTAGCATGCAAAAAAAAAAAACAAAAAAAAAACGATAGCTGCATTCGTCACAAGTGGGAAAAATTTAAATCTGCATAACACTTTATTCCAATTGTCTCATTCGCTTGCTTAAACTCAGCGTTGATTCTGATTCCGCAGAACTGGGTTAGGTGTGAAAAATTATTTGTTGTTAACATTCTTTTTTTCATTCGTTTTTTCCAGTTACGAGTCCTTTTTTAAAGCTGATCGTTTTGTGTTCATTTTGTTTAGTTCTTTTTTCGTAACAGATTTAATGTTTAGTATAGAGCTTAGAAAAAATTCGTAGTGTGAGATAGGCAAGAAGTAAGGCATGTAGCAACATCAGCACGGAAAAGGGCACTCCTTTAAAGGCAAGGAAGGACAAGAATATTTTAAGTCAAGTGATAGTGATTGCTGTATGAGTCGTACGATTTTTGAATCAAGCACGGGCAACGCCGGGCCATGCTGCTAGTATCTAATATTATTAAATGTTAGCTTTATATATTGTGCAGTGTTACCTCATTGAAACATAGAGATTATTTATAAACAATATACAATCCCCTGTGCCTGGCCTTTCCTTTTTATTCATATCGCGTGCTCCTTACGCTTTATAATTTCTTAACTTGAATCTTTTTCCCCACATGTATCATATAAACTTTAAGCTTACATCATTCTTTTCTTTCCAACGGAAAAAAAACATGTACCATATAAACTTTAAGCTTGTATCATTTTCTTTTTTACTTTGTTTTTCCCAATATCTCACACCATAAACTCTATATTTTGAATTTAAACCCCAATAATATATTGGGTTTACATTCTTTTAGCTTTGAATTTGAGTATAATTTAGCGTTTCTCCCATGATACCCAGTACAACTGTAATAAGCGGCTCAACTACCATATGTGCCTGCCGACTTGAGAAACCATGAAACTTCAAGTTGCAATACAAACGTAGGTATATGTGTATTTATTAATATATACTTCATAGCTCTGTTTAGCTACACTGAGCACTGTTTTTGCACCATAACTCAAATTAAATAAACATTTGCTTATCTACGTATGCACTCTATTGCGCGTATATACATTTGCTAATATCTCGTTAGTTTACATTCAAATTTATATATATATATATATATATATATATATATATATATATATATATATATATATAGTTAAGTTATGAAGAACTTGGTAAAGCGATTGGGTAATTCCAAGTAGGATGGAATCCTGAGAGCTCAACGTGAATACAGAGCTAATATTTAATGAAAAACAGACCACTTTAAGGTATCATTACTAATAGGGTTCGGTCACTCATCCTACCCCAATATAAAGCATGCTTAGAAGAGATATGAAATTAACCCCTCCCTATACTCTACCTTGTCTCTTTACCTACCACACTTACCCCCCCGTTAAATTACAAAAATTACACTCCCCATCAATTTCTAATCCCATTTTTCCTTTCATTTCGTTGTTGGAATTGTTACCTGATGATCCGGAGTCCTTTAAAAAGGATTTTGGTGAAATAAATTATTGTAATGGTACCTTAAAGTGGTCTGTTTTTTTTATATATATATATATATATATATATATATATATATATATATATATATATATATATATATATATATATATATATAACCATTCTCAGTAACTGCACTTTTATTTGCTTTTTGTTTATGTCTTCCTCGTTTCTTCTTTCTACATTTCCGCTTTCTCCAATTCATTCTGAGGCATGATGGCGTAATGGATAGCGACTCGGATTGAGGAATCAGAAGGCAGAGTTCGAATTCCACTCGAATCCATTACATTCTCTTACGTGCTAATACCTTTGGGAAAGGTATGAATCCTCCTCTTCTAACCCCAGCTATGGGTAAATAGCAGAATAGACCGGGTACTCGTCTACCGCAGAAAAAAATGGCAACCTACTGCGGGAAAAAATCTGCCTCGTCAGTCATGTATCGAAAGCTACATGATCGCTTAAGCATGTATCACGCATGGCACATAGCTGACTTATTATTTCCTTTATACACAAACTGTTTGTTTCTCTCAATTTTTCGTTTCCTCTCTTTCTTTCCTCTATACTCAACTTTTTTCTTTCTTTCTAATTTTTCGTTTCGTCTTCTTTCCTCTAAGCCCAACTTCTTTCTTTTTTTTTTCATTTTTTCTTTCTATTTTTTCATTTTATATCCTTCTTTCCTCCATGTCCACCTTCTTTCTTTCTTTCTTTCTTTCTTTCTTTCTTTCTTTCTTTCTTTCTACTTTTTCGTTTCATCTCCTTCCACCCTTTATGTCCATCTTCTTTTTTCTTTCTCCTTTTTCGTTTAATCTCCCCTTCTTCTATGTCAAACTTCTTTCTTTCTTTCTTTTTCTTTTCCTTTGCTTCTTTCTTATATGTTAAGCTTTTTTCGACACGTCTCCTTTTCGCTATGCTCAATTTCTTTCTTTCTTTCTTTCTTTTTCTTTCTTTCTTTCTTTCTTTCTTTCGTCTTCATCCCTCAATACCAAAATTTATTCTTTTAGTTTTGTCCTGTCTGGAACAGAGTCCCAAATGTCGGACTTACATCATGTGCCTTTCTACTATACATTTTTTGCTCCTTCCTTCCTTCCTTCCTCCTTCCTTCCTTCCTTCCTTCCTTCCTTCCTTCCTTCCTTCCTTCCTTCCTTCCTTCCTTCCTTTTCATTTCTTTCACCTTTCACTTTCCCTTTATTTGTTTCTTAGTTTCTTTCTTTTTCGCCGTCTGTATTTTTTTCTTACCTTCATTTAATTATTTTCTTTTCTTCTATGTGCTGATCATGGTTCTCCACAATTTCCTATTCTTTGCAACTCTTAATAATATTTGTCTTATTAAAAGTGGGTCAGTATTTCGCAGAATTAAAACAAAATTTCTAACCGCCAAATTGTAGTTAACGAGAACCTTCTATCAAAAGGTCTTGTTGCTATGACAATAGAAAGGCGGTCAAATTGACCGAAGCATTAACTTTTGCAAACTAGGAGCGTTTCAAGGACAACTTTTGCTTCCATTGCTGGAAATTTCGTTTTGAAATCGACGCCTTGTGCTAAATATAAAGAAAGATATACAAATATCAACTTTGTGAGACATATCAGTATTGTTGTTGTTGTTGTTGTTGTTCTCCTTGTTCTTTTTCTCTTTCTTCTCATCTTTCTTTATCTCTTTTGTTTCTCTGATCTATTTCCACTCTCGTTTGCGTCTGCGCACTGCGCATGTGCAGTGAAGGCACAAAGGAATTAATTACGAGTCCGCATGACGGAATAAATTGGAACGAGGGCCGCCCTCGACATCAAACGATATCATTTGGCAATATATGTGTCCGTAGACTGGAATGCGCATACGAGATGGGATTATACAATGTTGCCCGGCATGAATATCACATTAAACACATCCAGCCTGTTGTTTAAAATGCTCTAAGGTTTGAAGAGTTGAATTGGACATGGTTTTTTTTTTTTTTTTGGTTCGTGTCAACTATAAGCTTATAATTTACTTTAAATTTTGGAAATGCAAAGATTATATTGGTGGAAAATTGAGTGCCGAATAATCGCTACACACATACACGCACTAACGCACATACGCAAACATATACATATATATGCAAAGAAATATACACTAACATATCCATACAATCACCTACACGTAAGCGCATATACTAACACAAATACAAATTGGCCTCGAATAGTTCTGCCTGAGGAATTGTACAGTGCGTCCGCGTCGCTATCGAATGCGTCACAAAGTCGAGATTTAAACTGATTGGTTGCTTGCTTTTGTTTAGTGGTATATCAACCTCTATGGATTATTTAATGCCGAAATCTAATTATTATATACGTATTTTTATTTTTATTTATTTTTTTTTTTTTAGTGATGCAAGTCTTACTAATTAACCCATAGCTGGAGGGAGAAGAAGTAGATTCATGCTTTTCACGAGAATATTTGCGCGTAAGTGAATATAACGAGCCCAACTGGAATTGGAACTCAGTTCTCCGATTTCAAATTCCGTGGCATTACACCATCCGAACATCCAAGCTTACTGAGTCTGGTATTCCCAAGCGATCACCCATCCAGATACTGACCAGGCTCGACGTGACTTAAGTTCGGTGATTGTACAGAAACCAAAGGTTTAAATCGAATTTACTAGCAGTACCGCGGAAAATTTGCTCAATTTCCCCTTTTGGGGACGTTTCGCTCGTTGGGTAATGAGTCCAGCCTTCTCCCGAAGGAGCCGAGTCTTGCGCTAACATTAATTTCAAAATACCCCAGCCGAAGGAAATTCACATTTTAAATGTTACAATATTTTAAAGAAATAATCTCAGTTTTTTTTTTTTAATTTTTTTTATTTAAACAATTTTATAAGCGTGTTAAATTATTTGAGATGTGGAGAGATGGAAGTAAACATAAATGAAGAATTTTCAAACAAGTTACTTCTAAAATTTCGCTAATATCGAAGAATACCTGTAGAAAAAAATTTCCCAAACATCCGAAAAATATATATAATATTATCGTCAAAATTCTTTTTACCTTTATTAAGATGAAAGAGTAAAAAAAATTTTTGGATCAAAATTATTTTTCTATACTTTAATATAACTCTGGGAATTTGTGGTAAAAAAAAAATTGTTTTTGTTGACAAAACATGGCATTGACTTAGTACAGGAAATTTTTGGCGGACAAAAAGAATTTCCAAGCCAATGTTTGGAAATTCTTGCAAAGCTCAGATGATTGTTGGATGTTAATGAAACCTTCAAGACTTGCTCGGAAATGAATGGAATTATTTTGGAATATTTCTTTCTTTTTTTTAAATCTTTATAAATCTTTCCTGATCTGTTATCCGTCTCCACATTCAATTTTTAATGTTTATATTTGTTATAAGAACAGCTTCTTGAATAATTTAAATCATCAAAATATACTGCTCAAACTTGACCCCCAGTTACAGCAAAAGCTGCCCTGAATCGTAGAAAAAAAAATCAATTAAACTAAGATATATTTTATTTGAAAAATTTTCCACTGCTTTTATAAATGAAGTAATTATGGATAATATTATCTGAAGCAAAAAATTTCCCAGAAGAATTCATTTTTACATTATTTTCAATTTAAAAAAAAATTAATTAGAATAAATTATAAACTTTTAAAGCTTTTAAAATGCTGCATTAGTCTGTAGCAGCCAAATGATACTGTTATTAAATAAAAAGTACATTTAATAATCATAAATTATAAAGATCACTACAATTTAATGACCGCAAGTATTTTAAAAAGGATTTTGAATTATTTGTGTGCATATAATTACGTCGATTTTTGTAAATACAGACGTCAATACACGACATTATAAGAAAACAAGTACTTCTAATAAATTTAAAATTTATTGATAATTTTCTAACATTTTTTAAACAAGTGTCTTGGTAATTTATACTACAGCGTTAAAGTACAAAAATGCAATTGTTTAAAATATTTTCTTAATTTTCGAAGATTACTTGGTAGTTAAAACAAACCTTACAAAAAGGCGTTCAAGTTTTATTCGTCAAGTAATTTCCTTCGTTTCTGAATATAATAATTTTCTCAAACATCAGGCTGTCAATAAACGATTCAACACGTCATAAAAACAACTAGTCCTTGTTAGAGAATACTTTTCTGCACTATTTTAAGCTAAAAGTAATTAGGATTTGTTTAAAATCAAATTAATAAACTTTAAATCAACTAATTTTCTTAATAAATTGTTTCAGAAAAGAAAGCATATTTTATCTTTGAAAGATTTATTAAAATAAGTGCATTATTTTGTGTTGACAGATCTGCAATATGAATAAATTTAGAGATTATAAATAAAGAGAAAAGATTTTAATCCATCTAAAATCGGTTTAAAATACATAAAACAAGTATTGTGCATATTGGGAATATTAAATTTCATTTGTTAGCTTAGAATTAAATCTAAAATTAATGCATCAAGAAAGACGTCTTTTTGAAATGCATCTAAAACTTTCAACTACGATTTGCTGATGACATTTTTACTAATAATATTGGGTTATCTGAATTAACACGCAAAATATTTTTTGACGGAAGCAACAAGGAAGTCGAAAAAAAATGGTAACAGAAAAAAAAAAAACTTCTATTTTTTTATGTGCCGTGTCCCTTCAGGACGTAGGCGATCATGGTTCTCCACTTCCACCTATCTGTTGTAGTTCTCAATATATTTTATCCTTTTGAACGCCCAGACCCAGTTCAGTCATCTACTTGCTTAAGCCACCCCCATAGGTATGTTATATGTTACTTTCCCCTGTCTCTCTTTCTGTTGTGGTAGGATCCACCTAATTTGCATAGTGGAGTACCGACCATATAAATATGGTTGGTACCGGGAAGAGAGGGAGGAATCAAGAGATTCAACCAGAGACTCTGCCCGACTGCGACTCAGTCAACACATTCTCCAGGAATGGTCCTACCAGGAATATACAAAAGACTATATGTAAATATTGTGTACACTTTCTTGTTTCAATACATTTTGTTCTAAGTACATTTTGTGTTGCATTATTATTCCATGCATTAGTCAAGTTTCAACACTTTCCCTCTGTCTACCCTGTGAGTATCAGATTCTACGAGCCTTCCTTTCTCATTACGTGTCTCGGATCCTGATGTTAAGTATAATTCCCCACCCCCTTGTTTGTATCCTCTCCAAAACCTCATCATTGCCCAAACGCTCGATCCATGGTATCCTTAGCATCCTTCTGTGGAACCATATCTCGGGCCATTTCTCCATCTTTAAGGAGACCGTCCAACATTCGCTGCCATAAAGGAGGATAGATATCACGTAGCAGTTCAGTACTCTTTTCTTTGTCACCAACGAAATCCTCTTGTCTCTTAATACTCTGCTTAGCTTTTGGAATGCATCTTTAGCTATCCCAATAGGTCTTCGGATTTCAGTGTCACACTTCCCGTCCTCTGTCCGAACACTTCCCAGATATTTAAATTTCCGCATCTGCTTGATTTAAGTGTCCCCGACCTGTAAATCGCATTTCGGGCTCATCTTTTTACTGATGACCATGCATTATGTATTTTTGTAGTTTATGCTTAGTCCCTTCTTCTCGCTATCATTCACTACCTTCTATAGAAGATTTTGTAATTTCCTTTCTGTATCTGCTATCAGCACTCTGTCATCTGCGTATATTATGTTGTTAAGATTGTGGCCGCCAATGATGAATACCGGTCGGATTTCCAGTTCTCTCAGAATTGCCTCGCTGTATAGGTTGAATAAGTCCGGTGAGAAGACACATCCTTGCCTTACGCCCTTTCTATTTTTGTATATCTGCAGAACGCATTTTCTATCCTTATGCAGGCCGTTTGCTGCTAGTATAGGTTCTTGATTATTCTAATGATTTTCCCGACTATATCACAGTTATTGAGCGGTTCCAACAGATCTTTGTGGCGCACTTTGTCGAACGCCTTTTGCGTACTTTATAAAACACTGGTGCACATCCTTCTGCATTTGTTTTGCTCTTTCTGAGTATGAATATCGTGTTCCGTGTTCCGATGTCTTTAACGAACCCGCACTGTTCTTGTCCTATCTCTTGCCTGATTCTGCTGCGCGCTCCGTTCAACAGAATACGGATGATGAGTTTTTGATATGTCCCGGAAAGGGATATATTTGAACGAAGTAGCTAAGTAGTTTTGGCTACTATAACCAAGTAGAATACGGTATCAGTAATCGACTGGTACGCGCCGTCGTAGTCGGAGGTAAGAAATGTAGATCAATGGCGTAGTCCAATGGGCGTCGT